TGGAGAACCTATTCAGTTTAGGATTACAATGCAATACGGTCTTTCTCTAATACAATACTCTTGACCACATTGTTTGGTTTGATAGTTTATTCATGTCTACTATCCAATGTGATTCATTTACTTATATGATTACTTTGAATGTGATTTGGCACGGCTTCCTGAATCTCATCCATACTCTGGCTAGAGATTCTTAATCATATCATAGAGTATTCTCCCTCAAACGGTTTGAAGGTTAGAGATCCCTTGTTGCACATTCACTTGCCTCCATGGCTAAGTGGCTTAACCCCAACTATGCTGTGGACACCTCTGATAAAGTGACTTTGACATAGTCAAAGATCAAGGACTTAACCATAAGACAACTATGATGCCTCAGGTCAAAGGAGTACTTTGCATTATCCCAACCATGAGTTCTCATGTGATATGAGTATGAGAACTCCTCGTTGATCGTGTTCAGTGGACTCATTCTCTATTGAGCACCTACATACTTGTCTTGGTGTCAATCACACCAATGACTCAAGACCAGTCAATCTCCCTGAGAGAAGACACAACACGTACTATTCTTAATAGACTGTCAATGCCCAATTGGCAATCCTATGATCAGGAACGTTTAGGATATGTATACGAAAGAGAATGGTCTCATGAATCTAACTTCTTTAAATTACATTCTCCTAATTACATATTCCTTGGACTTATCATTTAAGTATATAACATTTATATGAGACAGCTTAAAACAATAATCTTGGCCCTTGATATTAAACTAGATTAGTTTAACATGTGAAATGTTCGTAAAGTATCATCATATGATTGGTTTTAGGGCACATTTCCAATAGTTCTCCCTCACTTCGAAGCTCCCAAACTCAAACCACAAGCCACCCAAATTCCAAATCAAATTCAACCCCACTCCAAAATCAGGCCAACACTGCCATAACCCACCCAAGCCAAACCTCCAATTGGAGGCTTCACCTTACCCTTTCCAAAATCAGATATTTTTTCAAAACAATGAAAGGATTAGAGAGAAAAAAACAAAACTACACCCCAATTGCAGGTCCCTCACCTTACCTTCGGGACCTAACACCCAGCCTACCTGCTTACCGCTGAAATCGAGCTCCACCTTGATCACCCTCCTCAAATCGCCGTCCCGATCGAACAACAGCAGCACCTCATCGCCGATGTTGAGATTCTCCTTCCATGCCTTAGGAGACTAATGGTGCTTCACAGTCAGCTGCACAACCTTTCTTTTAAATGATGTTGGGTACTTCACCCTTTTAGGTTTTTAGGTTTGTAGTTTTTAAAATTTTTAATAATTTTTTATTTTAATTTTTAATGTTCACGTGGGATTGTTGTGACATGTGGTACCAGTCATTATCCACGAGGGTGCTACGTTATAGGTTAACGGATGTATGAAAGTATCCAAGAATTACAAGACTGGAATGAAAAAACTCAATGTATGAAATGTTGAAAACCAAAGTGATCGTTCTTGGGCACTTTCATACATAGAATATTATGACACATAGAAATGTTGAAAACCAAAGTGTTAATTTATAATAGGGAATTATTATCGGCATTCCAAAAATCTTATTTTGCACTCCAAACTTTCTATAACTAGAACGAAAAATACATTTGTGAGGAGTATAGAATGAGATTCTTTTAGTGCTAATAACAGTTTCCTTCTAATATTCATTTACTTATATTATAACATATAGAATACGGCATTGCGTTCAGGCTGGATACACTAAAATACGACTTTGTGTTTAGGCTGGATACACTAAAATATTTCTTTCACTCCAACAATGATCACGAGCCCCCTTATTGATGTTGGAATCTATGCATGACTTCAGGGACAACATATGATGACACTACTCGCATCAACCCATGGTTTTCAACATTCCATTAATTTCAACATTGAACGCTAATTCCAACAAGAACAAGAGTGGCAGCTGCTCTCCCTAACCTATTTTTCTCCCAAAACCCTAGATCTCACAGCATCATATCCGCCAGTCCATTGCTTCGGCTCAGGGTCGGGGGCAGCCTTCTTGACCATTCTATAGTCCTTTCTCCCGTCTCTCCCCACCCCTCGCTCTGACTGCGTCGCTCCTCTCCCACCCATCGCGCTCCCCTCTCCCTCCGTTCGCCTCCCCCGCGCATCATCTCTATTTTCCCCTCCTTGTTCCTTTGCCCACACTTCAACCGTCCTACTTGATGCTACCTTGCATCCCTACCCCTCCTCCCATCCTCTCTCCCACCTTTTTGTGGACAGCTTTTCAAAGTTTGTTAGAGTTTTTCTTTTTCGGACCCAGGTATGCCTTCGAATTTGGACTTGACTCATGGTTGCGCAAGATTTGTGGTTGTTGTGGGTCGGATCCACCTTCTACTACTTGATTTCTATGGTGGTTGCGCGCTCATGGGCCTACCTGCGGCTGAGCTGCCTTATCTGGCCAGATCTGTGGCGACTCTTTCAGTAGAGGCGATTGATCTTTCTACAAGCGGTGTACACCTCACTATGAAGCCTAGCTGACTGATGGTTTGATTCTTGGATTATTAGTTTTATTGTTTTGTTATGTATTTTTGTGATTGCTTCGGCAAGTTGTTGCCTTACTGTTTTTGCAATGGTTGATGTTGCCTCGCTTGTTTTAGCGATGGCTTTGTGTGGGCATTCGATACCAAATTTGTCATATCTATCATCTTTCCGTCAGATTTGTATCATTTGTCGTTCGTGTTTGTGGTAATTGTTGATGGTAGCCATGTAGGGATTTACATGATCTGTTAGTTACCAAATTTCTCTACAGATGAATATTTGATTACTGAAGAATATATACCAAGAATAGCAACATCTTGTATTGTTCGGTTTTAATCAATGAAGCCACTGTATCGTTGCGCTTATAAAAAAACAGTACACGCGTCATATTTCTATCTAGATCAACCTTTGTTTGTGATAAAAGGAAAAATCTTTCATGGCTAATTAGAATGCCAGATGCGAATCGTGATTCGTCTTTTGTTTTTCAATCATTGCAATCAGTAGTGAAGCCATGAATAGTCAAGGTGAGGGCAAAATTTAAAAGGGTATAATGTCCCAAGAAAATGTAGACAACCAAATCCGAAACATCAAGCTAATCATTTCAACGACATTTTTACAAATATGTAATCGAGTAATACTGCAATTAGTACATCTCAAACACAAATAGTGACAAACACCAGCCAAAAGAATAAGACCATGAAAAATATCAAAGACCATGAAGAATATCAAACACAGAGAATTTTCATGAAATACTAAATGCAGACGCAACAGCCATTAACATGCCCTTGGAGCACTTGGGAAGCTGGAAATTTCATCAATCTCAGAAGCGGCTTAGCTGGCAGCTCCACATACAACCCATTTTCTCTAAACAAAACTCTGTTACTGTTTAATTCAAAATATCTGTTGTTTAATTTTATGAAAATAATTTACCTATTGTATAGCCACTTAGTACTGCGGTGTGATGATATTCATCTTTACTTATAAATGAGAGGTGTTAGGTTCGATTCTCGTCAAAGACGAATTTGAATCACATTATTGTTGAGCCATTTTGACGCTAAGCCCATCTCCTCCTCTTTAGCGTACATAATATCATTTGTTCAAAAAAAAAATTATCTACTATGAAAATAACTTACCTGCTGTTTAATTTTTATGAAAATAATGTGCCTATTTTTGAATTTTTACAAAAGTTAATGTATCTACATTTTTTTAATTTTAAACAAAATTAATTTACCTACTTCTTTTTATGGTATTAGTATACATAATATGTAGAATATATGTACGTATATATTGGATCTAATTAAGTAGGTTTTGGATTTGGATTTGGGGAGTTCACAAAAAATTAAAATATGTTTTTTTTAACAAACGATATTATATACACTAAGGAGAAGGGATGGGCTAAGCATCACAATGAGTTAACAATAATGTGGTTCAAATTCGCCTTTGGCGAGAATCGAACCTAAGATCTTTCACTTACAAGTAAAGAGAAATATCATTAGACTATAATACAAAGTGGCAAAATTAAAATATGCTAAACAAATTAAATGTCTAAAAAACGTATAAAAGATTTGGTGGCATGATTTTATAAATAAACACAAAGTCATGGACAACTTTTATCGAACATGACATAATATTCAAAATTTGAGTTTTATTTAGAAGTTATAAATGTAAAGATGATAAACACATACTTGTTTTAGTCTCTTACACATCTATATTTAATTATAATTGTTTTCATTTGATTATGGCCAAAACACAAAAAAGTGGTGAAAAGTTAAAAAAGTTGTGTGAATATTGCCACTGTTGGAAAATTTGCAAACTGTTTCTCTTTTTATTTGTTGAATGTAATGTTTCAAAAATACGTCTCGATTCTAAAATTATTTTTCTCTTTTTATTTGTTGAATGCAATGTTCCTAAAATACGTCTCGATTCTGAAATTATGCCTTTATTAGGTCAGGATTCTGAGGTTACTTTTTATTTATCCTCTCATTTATTATAACAAATTTTCAGTTTTTCTATGTAATGTTTATAACGAAACCAGTGCCATATATCTCCATCATTAAACGCTTTCCTATATATGCACTCAATTTTCTGGCAACATTCTGCTTGTCTTCCAACTTGGGTACTGCCATCTGATTCGGGAATTTATTTGCTATTTTTTTTAGTAATGCTAGGAGACTAAATTTGAAGACAAAGTTTTGAAAACTAAAGGACATGAAAGTTGATAATTAGTTTATTACTTAAATGTTGATAAACGTGCTTATTCTTATTGGTGACACATTATTTAGTTTGCAAATTTAGTTTCCCTAGCATTACTTTTTTTTTTTTTTTAGTTCCTTTGTAATTAAATTCAGAGAAATATTATATATGTCACTTGATCCTTGTGTAAAGATTCCGAAAAAATTAAAAAACGAAAAACAAAGCAACTCCGGTTCCTATATATAGGAGCAATTGCTTTGCTCATTCGGCACATATATATTTAGCTAGCTACTTACCAGAATTTCAAGTTGAGATATACATATATATCTTGGCTGGCTTGTTTCTTGTTTACTCAAAGTCAAAGATGAAGGCTGAGAAGGAGAGTAGATCTGGATCATATGCACTTCTGCTAGCAGCAAGGGACTCAGACTATGTGAAGAAAGTGTATGGTGGGTATTTCAATGTGTTTGTTGCAGCGTTTGGGGAAGAAGGAGAGAGGTGGGACTTGTACAGGGTTGTAGAGGGAGAGTTTCCAGGCATGGATGACCTTCAAAGCTATGATGGCTTCGTCGTCAGTGGCAGCCCGTATAATGCTTATGGCAATGACTACTGGATCATGAAACTCTGCTTTCTCTTGCAAACTTTGGATGCCATGGAGAAGAAAGTCCTCGGAATTTGCTTCGGTCATCAGGTACACACACACACACGCACGCATATATATATATATATATATATATATATTATATATATGTTGATACGTACCTAGGTTATTACATATACATACATGTTCTGTGAGAGAATAGTATTACGTACTTGCGTTTATTAATTTATAACATTCAATCTAATGTCACGTTACGTACGATGACCAAAAGTTGAGTATTACTTTCTTTTTCCTTGTATAGGTGTTGTGCAGAGCACTTGGAGGAAAGGTTGGGAAAGCTTATACAGGGTGGGATATTGGGCTGAGGAAAGTGAAGATAGTGAAGGACTTGGCTCCATTCAGCATCCTTAATTACTTGGACGACATGCCGCCTGCGCTTTCCATCATTGAGTGCCACCAAGATGAGGTCTGGGAAGTTCCTTCAGGTGCGGAGGTGATTGCGTACTCGGACAAAACAGGTGTGGAGATGTTCACCATTGGAGGCCACGTTCTGGGCATTCAAGGTCATCCTGAGTACAGTAAGGACATTCTTTTAAATCTCATCGATCGCCTTTTCAACAGCAACTTCATAGAGAAAGGTTTTGCTGAAAACACAAGGTCTGCACTGCAATTAGTTGAACCAGATAGGAAGTGCTGGGAGAAGATCTGCAAGACTTTTCTCAAGGGAAGATAAATAACCATGCCAAACGTGCATATTGCGTGGTCTAATTTGAACTCAAAGTGTATAATTATTGAAGAGGAGGGCATGAAATATTTACTATATATTTAATCAAATGGTAAAGAATCTAATTTTCTGTTTCTGTTTTTTCTTTCCGTAATGTTTGCCCTGTAAGCCATGAAAGGAGGACGCATATATGCCGATCCCAGTTGCAATAAGATTGGAATAATTTTGCATGTTAGATTCATTTAATGCAATTATTAAATGAATAATAATCCACCCAAATGTGGAGATGGGTTATGCTAATATCTCTTGGTAATATCTTTTAGTTATTGAGTTAATTAAAAGATACTCTCTTATGGAATATGTTTGGATAGTGGGCTTGGCTAAGCCTCCAAGCTTTTACTACCCTCGCTAGACCCCTATAAATAGAGGTCTTAAGGACAGGGTTTAATCATTCAATACAGCAGCCATTCCATAGCATCCTAGCAGAAATTCCTAGAGGAATTTCTCCCTCACACGCCCTTCACACAAATCTCTTCTCTCTTCTTATAGAGAGGAATTTCTCCCTCACACGCCCTTCACACAAATCTCTTCTCTCTTCTTATAGAGAGGAATTTCTCCCTCACACACCCTCTGCACAAATCTCTTCCTATAGTTGTTGACTTGTATTAGGATTCCTATAATTGTGGGATTCCTACTGTAATTGGTTTCCTAGTTTAGGATATAATTATTCTTTCCCTTATTCTTTCCCATATCTGTATAGGGTTGTATATATACCTTGTTTTGATATGAAATAAATTTATCATTGAAAGGCATTCTTTCTTCTTGGCACCAAAGCCGGGTTAGAAAAACACTGAACCCTAAATTTTTTTTCCTGCCGTATACCTGATCCATTGCAGCGAGCAACCTTAGGGTTGTTGCTGCCCGTTCCCTGACTGATTGCAGCGAGCACCAGAGAAGGTGTTGCTGCCCTGACCGATTGCAGCGAGCCCCAGATAGGGTGTTGCTGCCCTGTTGATTTGTCCAACGTGTTCTAGGTCCCATCACCGCTGCTGTTTTTTTTCTCTGCCTAGTTTGTGTCAGTCAACACCGAAGCAACAGAGAGATGGCTGAAGAAAAGGGGGCTGGTTCACAGATTGTTTCAGTGGCTGCTCCAATTATGGTGCAGTCAGAGAATTCAAGCTTTAATATTGGTATGGTTTTGGATGAAGAGAACTATGATTTATGGGCTCCCCTCATTCAAATTCATATTGCTGGAAGGAAGAAGATGGGATATCTTCGTGGGTCTATCAAGGCACCTAGCGAAGACGATCCTAAATATGATGATTGGTTTTCTGAAGATCAAAAAATTAAGAGTTGGCTTTTGTCTTCAATGAAGCCCGAGATTATGAAACGGTACATTCGGTTGTCTACATCGAAGGAGATTTGGGACTCCTTGAAGGCAGCCTACTTTGATGAGAATGACGAGGCTAGAATTTATTTGTTGAATCAGAGGCATCCCGTCTACGTCAGAATGGCCGACCCTTAGCTACCTATTTTGGGGAGCTCACTGAGATCTTCCAAGAATTGGATCACTTTAATAAAGTATCCATGGAGTGTGAGAATGACATCAAAGTGTTTCAGAAATCCACTGAGAGACAACGGGTCTATGTGTTTCTTGGTGGTCTCGATGATGGGTTTGATCAGGTGCGTGGAGAAGTGCTGCGGAAGGATCCCCCACTTGGCCTGCAGGCTTCTTATGCCTATGTTCATCGAGAAGCCAATCGAAAGGAAGCAATGAAGACAGAGGTTGACAAGAGGGAGTCTGCTGCCATGGCAGCAAGGGCCCGTGGATCATCTAGTGGGTCGAACCGAGAAGGGGTACAAAACCGGCCTGGATCAACTCGGCCGAGCCAAACAAGCCGGGATCGTCCACAAGGTAAGTGCCCACACTGTGGCCTGACGGGACATTCCAAGAGTCGTTGTTTTGAGCTCATTGGATATCCCGAGAATTGGGATAAGACCAGTGATCCTCGGTGCAACAAATCTCGAGCCTCCATTGTTGAAACCAAGAATGATTCGGATCAGATAGCGGACAAGGCATCTGCCATGATAGCTGCGGCAGGAAGTGATGGTAAGGCACTCAGTACTTCTACTTCTGTTATGAATAATACATGGATAATTGATTCCAGAGCTACTGAACATATGACTTGTGATTCTAGACAGGTTCCATCACTAAAAACATCCACACAAACCGAGGTCAATGTTGCTAATGGTAATGCCGTCCCTATTATTGGGGAAGGCGCTGTTTCCCTTTCCGATACCATGAAACTTGACACTGTTCTTGTGGTTCCCTCTCTAAATTATAATTTGTTGTCTGTTGCTCAAATAACACTTGCCTTACATTGTTTGGTTATTTTTTGGCCCTATTTTTGTGTTTTTAAGGACATCCGGACGCGAAAGACGATTGGTTATGGTATTAGAAGAGGGAAACTTTATTACTTGGAGTTGACCACCAGTAGTTCTAGCCCCCCGACTCCCAATCTTCCCTCACGGGTCATCGGATGTGTTGTGTTTGTTCACCTCCATCCACCTCAACGAAAGACTAAACTTGAACCTAGAGCTCTTCGTTGTGTTTTCTTGGGGTATGCTACTACCCAGAAAGGGTATCGTTGTTATCATCATTCGAGTAAAAAGATGTTTATTACTAAGGATGTGGTTTTTCACGAGACTGAAATGTTCTTTGGTTCCTCCCCGTCCTCACTTCAGGGGGAGTACCGCAATGATGAAGTTCTGACTTGCGATAATAGGGATGTGTTGAGCTTGGAGTACACGGCTTCTGGAAGAGGGCAACAGCCCACGGTACCTGGAGAAGGGCAGTAGCCAATGCCCGTGACACCTGGAGAAGGGCAGCAGCCCGTGTTTTCTGGGTTTAGTCCTACCGAGCAGCCTACTGAGGAGCAGCCAACAAGTCAGGAAGAGGAGCAGCCCACGGGTCTCACGGGTATTGAGTTGGAAGATGAGATGCAGCCGCCCAATTGCCGTGAAACAGAGCAGCAATTACAGTATGTGTCACGAGATACTACTTCTCATAACCAATCGTCTTCTACACCGGATGCACCCCCACTTCGTCGCCTTCCAGAGTGCATTAATAGAGGTATTCCCAAACCCACTTATGAGGCAGATCTTGAGTGTAAACACAAGTATTCCATGAGTGAGCCAAACTCTGATTCCAGAGTGAGATACCCATTAAATCATTATGTGTCTACCTGTCACCTGTCAGAATCAAATAAGTCATTTGTATATCAATTATCTACTGTATCTATTCCTAATAGTGTGCAGGAGGCTTTAGCAGATTCCCGCTGGAAAGATGCAATGAACGAGGAATTGAGATCGTTGAAGAAGAATGCTACCTGGGAAATAACTGACTTGCCAGCCGGAAAGAAAATAGTGGGATGCAAATGGGTTTATACAGTAAAATATAAAGCCGACGGAACAGTAGATCGCTTTAAAGCAAGATTGGTGGCAAAAGGGTATACACAGAAATATGGCATTGATTACACTGATACGTTCACACCAGTGGCAAAGATCAATACAGTTCGTGTTCTACTGTCCTTAGCAGCAAATCTGGATTGGCCTTTGCAACAGTTCGACGTAAAAAATGCTTTCCTCCATGGAGATCTGACTGAGGAGATTTACATGGACCTTCCACCAGGGTGCAGTGATTCGGACAGACAGAAACAAAAGGTATGTAGGCTCAAGAAATCACTGTATGGATTAAAGCAGTCTCCGAGAGCCTGGTTTGGTAGATTTACCAAGTCCATGAGGGCATTTGGGTATATACAGAGTAATTGGGATCACACGTTGTTTTTGAAACACCAGAACGGAAAGGTTACGGCTCTAATCGTGTATGTGGATGATATGGTGGTTACTGGTGATGATCATGTTGAGCAAGCAGCCTTGAAAAGTTATTTGTCCACAGAATTTGAAATGAAAGATCTTGGTCCTTTGAAATATTTTCTTGGGATTGAAGTATCAAGATGCAAGTTCGGGATATTTCTATCACAAAGGAAGTATGTTCTTGACCTGTTGGAAGAAACCGGTATGACAGCATGTAAGTCGGTGTCTACTCCGTTGGCCGAAGGAATGAAGTTGGGTATAGATCAGAACCAAGTACCAGTTGATAAAGGGAGGTATCAAAGGTTAGTAGGAAGATTAATGTACTTGGCTCACACTAGGCCTGATCTTGCTCATGCCTTAAGTGTGATTAGTCAATATATGCACAATCCAGGAGAACAACATATGAGTACAGTTATGAGAATATTGAGTTACTTAAAGGGGAGCCCTGGTAAAGGAATTTTATTTCGAAAAAAATGAGCATTTCAGAATTGAGTGCTATACGGATGCTGATTGGGCAGGATCGACGAATTATAGACGCTCGACATCTGGGTATTTCACCTTTGTTGGGGGAAATCTAGTAACGTGGAGAAGCAAGAAGCAGAATGTCGTATCAAGGTCAAGCGCAGAAGCCGAATTTAGAGGCATGGCACTCGGTATTTGTGAACTCTTGTGGTTTAAGTTTCTGTTGCAAGATGTGGGGGTCAAACAAGGTCTGCCTATGAAGTTATTTTGTGACAATAAAGCTGCACGGGATATTGCTCATAATCCTATGCAACATGATCGGACCAAGCATGTAGAGGTTGATCGGTTCTTTATTAAAGAGAAGCTAGATAGTAAAGTAATTGAGGTTCCTCCCATAGGAACGGACGACCAAGTAGCAGATATTCTCACGAATGCGGTTTCTAGTAACAAGTTCTCCAGATTTCTAGACAAGTTGGGCATGTGCAACATCTATGCACCAACTTGAGGGGGAGTGTTGACTTGTATTAGGATTCCTATAATTGTGGGATTCCTACTGTAATTGGTTTCCTAGTTTAGGATATAATTATTTTTTCCCTTATTCTTTCCCATATCTGTATAGGGTTGTATATTGTTTTGATATGAAATAAATTTATCATTGAAAGGCATTCTTTCTTCTATAGTTTGGTTCTACAGTTTGATCCCTATGCTAGAACAAGTACGTAATATAACCCGGCTAGATGCAACCTAATTCTATAAATGGTGGCATTCGTGCTTGTCAACGGCTAAGGTTCGCAAGAA